CTTGAAGTCACAGAAAATTAGACTTGAATCCAGGCTTCATGGCTAATTTGTATGCAATTTGGGACGAGTTACTTAACCTTCATGAGAGTCTGTTTTCTCATCTAAAATGGGGAACACAGTCTTTCCTTCTGGGTTTGTTATAGGAAGACATTGCTATTATTTCTCGCACAGTGCATGACCCATAGTAATGTCACAATAAATGGTAACTGGGCCATTAACATGACATTCAAGGTTCTCCATGACCTGTTTCTAATATACCTTCCCAACTTTGCATCCCACTCTGACTTGTACTCTCATTCATCTATGTCTTCATACTTTCATTCTTCAAAAAACATGTACTGTGAGCTGTGTCCCATCACTAAAACTTTACTTAAAGAGTTTATTTATTTATTTATTTGCTTGTTTGTTTCTTTGAGATGAATTGATTAGACATTGACTTTGTGCTGACTTTCTTTTAGAATCTTGAGATAAATTACTGAATAAAACAGAGAAAACATTTGCTCTTGAGAAATGGACATTTTAGTTGGGAAGACAGAAAACAAAGAGTAAACATAATTAATTAGAGAATGATAAAGAATAGGAGAAGCTTATCATGCTGTGAGGGAAAAACAAAAACAGAACAGAGTCAGTGAGACTGAGGAGGGGAGGAGTCTCTTACCCACTGTTAGCATCCTGGATACAACAGTTTCTCTTATGCATTCACAATAGTACGTAACTAGTGCTTTGAACGTAATAAGGACTAAACAGAGAATTAATGAAGTCAGTGGGAATGCATGGGGAAATGAGATCTAATCTCTAACTAAACAGTTTAGACATGCACTTTATGAACACTTTCTGTGTTAAATTGGAGCCCTTTTGATATTCTCTAGCAGAGTTCTTGGAGCTGGGATTTTAACAGGTACCTTTGTTTCCCCACAATTCTAGTCCTTCTGATGGGGTGCAAGGAAATAATTATAGGGGTGGGGTATGGATCCTGTGCTAATTGGAACTGAACGCTTATGTAACTATGGATAGTTATAGTTCTATACAAACAACACGGTGGGGCTGGTAGTTAGCCCTCAAATTTTGGAGCAAAGTCAAGCAGCCTTAAATATGTGAATGTATCTTAGACTCTCCAAGAAGACTACTGCATATAATACACAGCATTTCTTAAAATTAATTAACCATAGAACTCCTGGTGTATAGAGAAATTAGAGTTTAGGTTAATGTACATTTGGAAATGATATTCTAAAAAACAAATGGTAATGTAGTCAGAAGTATTTAGATTATAAAGAGGAAGGTCTTATAATTTATCATTTAAGACAGACATTTTTGAGAATGAAATGGCACTGTTAATAATTATGCCAGGAAAGCGGGAATCAAACAAGTCTATCCCAGTAAATTAGAACATGTGGTCGCTGTAGTAACAGTTTACTGCACAGTCGTATCTTTCCCCCAAATACACTTTCTAGTTTCTCCTGCTCCCTTGGGAGGTGGGTCCAGGGGAAGCCCTGTGTGAAAGGAGGCAGAATAGCTGCGCTCCTTTTGGAGGGAGGTCTTTTGAAATCCTCAGCAATGCAGTGCACCATAAAAAAGAAAACTAAAAATGAAAACTTCGAGGAAATGCGTGTTTAGCCTTTTCAAGCAAAATAAGGAATTAGGTCTCCCTGAAGATGCTAATTTACTGAGACTTTTCAGCTTAAGGAATTATTTTGGATACCTTTCCAGAGATATTATAAAAAAGATCATCTTAGATATATTGATAAATTTGTGGCTGTGTTTGATATGGGGATCACTATCAATACCTATGGAGTAAGGTTGAAAAAAACTTTTTAATGGGTTTGTCATTTTATAATAAAAAGTAAATAATAAGAAGATAATGTTCATTAAACAACAAAATAAATTTTGCTTTTTAGTAAATACATGAGCGCTCACTTGTATATTTATATTTTGTGCATCTCACTGTAAAAACCTACACTAAACTAAGGAATATATCAAACTACAGTCTTCTGCAACAAGTTCTATTTTTGTTCTTCATGTAAATAGTCAACCAATAACTTGCCATTCTCAAAGTGGAATTCAGTATTCCTTATATTAATTATAGCCTTCCTTCAGCAAACAGTTTTTAAACACAGCATCTAAATTCAGGATCATTGGGAACTAAAACAAAGAATCTATTCAGAAATGCTCCATAAGCTAAATGGGGTAATATTTTTATAGAGTTTTGGATAAATGTTGTATGACTCTCAGAAGAGAGAAATTCTAATTTTATTAAAGAACATTTTGTCCTCAAGTCTCCTTTCCAAGTTCAATAAATAGAGAAAGCCCTCAGTGCAAAAGCATGAAGTGCCTACATATCCACCAGAAAATAATTATGTTAAGGAGACAGTAATATTTGTAACATTTAAAGAAATTCATTATTAAAGAGGAAACTTCTCTGAGTTGGGGTGCAGGACAATCACATTGTAGTTTTTCTGAAACAGCATGAACAACATGATTTGCATTATCTGTTTCTTTTGACCTGATAGTCTGATTGTCTCTAAATGAAATAACTGACCTTGGTGTATATAGACAGAGGACATGGTTACCCTGGCAACAGGTACCATGGACCACATGTGACCCTTCTCCAAAGAAAATCTATGCCTCTTTTTTAAAACATAAAACAAAACAAAGTCTACTGTCTCCTACTTAAAACAGAACAAAATAAAATCCCAGTTTTTTAATACTAACAGAAGAACATTCCCAACTAATTTCAGCTTCTTTATTTAGCAAAATGTTTTCCTGAGGATTTTGAAATGGATCAACATCACTTCTTTGTGTTAATCTCATCACCATGAGTAATCCAATTGGTTGGGTAAATGTAAAGTACTGAAAACTCTTTCAGGCATTCACAGTCTGAAGATCCAGCAGAGGGAGCCCATACATTACTGCTGTTTTTTAAATGTCAGTCTAAAATGATGATACAATTTTAAAAGTTCCAGTAACAGAACTTTTGATATTTTGGGACTCTAGAGATAACTACCTGGCAAAGTGTAAATCCTCTAATGTCATTTTGTTATTGTTGATGTTTAAATCTAATGAAGTGCC